CTACAGCTATGCAAGATTCGGGGCCTGCAGAACCTCCTCCCCCTTATGACCCGCATAATTACATATCATGATATTCAAAAACCTACTTGATAATAACACTGCGAACGTGTTCAAACCAATAGTCAAATATTGAGTGTCGAGGCTTCAGAAACATCCTCTTCAAAAATTTCATAGCTCTTCTAGGCGAATCTATATGCGTGCCGCCTCGCACGCGCTGGGAGCTTGCCTAATTCTACTGTTCATGCGAGCTTTCATCCTTTCATTCGATTGAGTGATTGGTCAATGGCGACTGGTACTAATGAGGATATATGTGCTAGACAAATAGGCTCTCACGGAATAAAGAGGTCAATACAGACCCCAAGGCATGAACTTCTAGAAAAAGGCGACAACTCTCCGAGTCATGCCTGTATATCTTGGACAAAAGCTACGACTTCTCGGTGTTGTGAAGTCGCAACTCAGCGTTGAGGCAAAGCCCAGCGATCAAATGACAATATTGTTCATATAGCACAGTCACCACTAAATTCTTTGCAACGGATGATATGACATACAACAGCTCGTTCTGTGTTTATTGAAGATGCAAACTCAGAGTTCTCATAATAAGGAAACTGCGTATCTAAGATGACAACTCAACTAACAATGGAACGTACTCGAGCTGAAGGGTTGGCACTATATTTCCCAGTTTGACCTATATATCTCTCGATGCGCTTAGATTTGTCATGTTGGACACTAATATGCATAGAGTTAGCAATTGGCGTTATGATAATCCATCCGTGAACCTGAAGATGAATTATATGATTGAGGATTCTGAAGTTCGAACTGCGGGTTCTCGTAATCTCAACAAATAGCTGCCCTGTTAAATACACACCCCATAGACAACCCATAGACTAGATTTACTAGTGGACTGTAGATGGGTTAGGACCTATTTGCATAATCTCAATTATCACCTTGAGCAGGACAACCCACCATCGACTACTTCTTCGTCATGCCCAGCCTCGATGAACCTCAACTTCATTGTCTGGAGTTAAACGTCCAAAATAAAATCTAAATGGTATTGCCATACTATTCCTTCTAGCCGACTTGAACGACTGACCTCGTCATAAACTAAGGGCTGGATATATATGACATACTAGTGACGCGCTCTACCAACTGAGCTAAGAAGGATTTGCATTTCATATTGTATGAGGAAACCATGATGACGGTGGAAGTTGAACAGTGCTCTCTAATACCTACTACAACACGATTCAAAGAAACCGCCGTCGCAGTAGCAATGAGAGTTCCAGAAGCAGTCTAATTTAAAAGAGAAAAAAATTAATGATACAGAGTATGAGCGAACGATACTAAATTACAAATGATCGAGAATCCAGAGGTTAGTAACTGATGTGGTGGTATTAACTAAGCTGGGGAATATTATGAAGGAAATGCATTTAGACGACCGTTCAATCATGGCATCTAATTTGCTGGATTGGGAGCTGCAATGACAATGAATTAGCCTGAAATGAAAATGATAAGAGAGCGACGAGAACTCACTCCACAACTTCATATAGCGGCCAATCTCCCATAACTGTTCGCATCCGAACTCCTCTACGCTGGGTACCTTCCCACTGGGTCGGAAATTCATCTTACAATTACATTTATGGTATGTTGTCTGGTCAAAGTCAATGATCCTGATATCACCATTTAGCTCGAGGACGTTGCGTTCCGCAAAGTCGCCGTGGAGTAGGCCGCGCCGATGTATCTCTCCCAGCCGCTCAAGTATCCGTACTCTTTCATGGGTAGATGGTTGATCATAGACTTAAGAGGATGGAGACAGGAGGCGCGTACCTTTTGTGCAAGGGCTGCTGATTAAATGGCCGTCGTAGGCATTCACCCCAGTACTCGAGGACGAGGCAAGCAATCGTCTGGCCTTCCTCTCCAGAGCCGGCGTACAGGCCGTAACAGCGTGGTATTGTCGACCCCTGAAGAGGTTCCAAAGCACCATTGTAGACGTTGAGTTCTTCTGCAAGGTCGGAGATGAAATCTTCGCGCATGGCAAATTTTAGTGCTACGGAAATACATTTGGACTTGGGGTTGGAAGGGTCGATGAGTGACGCGCGAAATACGGGTGAGTCAGAGTAGTAATCGCAGGTGGTATTGGGGTCGACGTTGACAGTAATTGACGGCGACTCGCCCTTTGGATGTTCTGGCGCCACGACGGAGGTAAGCGTAAACTCGCGAATATTCCAGCCTGGCCAACAGGTGGGGAACTTGACGCGTAGGATGGTCATGGAAAACATGGTATGAGACGAGTAGTGGGGTATTGATATGGTGTCCGACCGTCTAGATAACAGGGTATATGTAGGAAAGAGAGAGTGCCGCGAAAGAAGGGGCTGCAGTTACGTGTCTCCCGGACAGAAGAAGCAGCAGAAGGACGTCTAAAGTAATTGTCAAGCGAAGAGAAAGGATTGGCGGTTGGAGGGTGCTTACAATTTCGCGAACGCCGGAAGCTCCACAAAAATTTGGGTCGCGTCGAACATCATTGCATTCGGCAGGTAGCCGTTCGTGCCGGATGTGATCTCGATGATATCACCGCAGATTTTTCATCGCTTTTAGCACATTTTCAGTTGGTTTTCAGTGCATTCTTGCGCATATGGTAAATGACGACTCGGCTCGAGGAATAATGTTCACATCATCGATCGCGATCAATGCCTAGTAATCGGGATGCCTTTTCGTTCCCGGACACGAGGGTTACTGCTCAGACTCTCTCGATCAAGGTTTGAGTGAGCTGGTAATGCAGAGCCCACTATTCAGAGCGTAGTAGGAGGTTGAGATTAGTTAGTTAAAAACATGGTGGACCGATGAGAAAGAAACAGATCACCCAGAACTGGAGGCGCATGGCAAATGGGAATGTGCGACATTACATGTGAATTCATTCTGAATGTCCAGGGACCAGATATGCAAGCCCCACCATGAGAAGATGTCGACGAAGGGTTAGACTCTAGACGGATAATGGTCATACTTACTTACCAGGGATAGACGACGTGGACGGGGAGCACATTTTGCTCACATCTATATCATGAGTATCATCCGCATATGACCAACGGACGGTGACACTCACCCTCAGCTATACTGTATAAACCAGTGCCATGCCCAAGAGGAATCAGATTCACCGATCTTGGAGGGATTCCACGGAGGGTACCCCCCCTACCCCCAAACAGAGTAATTTGCGTGTCATGTTTGGCATCCAGCTCATCAACGCGGCATGATGGAGTTTCTAGCAAACCGTTGTTGGCTGTAATGGGGTCAACGCTCATTCTATCGTCCTCCGCCAACGCATGGACACATTGTATTGTCATCGACGCGTCTTTCTTTGAAATAACAACATAATACCCAACCCATGGCGTGTTAATTCTTCTTTTTCGTTGACCGGTGTACAATCTTTCAACTTCCTGTCGCATAATGAGTCATCCCAACTTCCTCTTCTTCCTGATGATGACTGACCTACTGAATCCTTCGATTCCAACAAGCATAGACACGTCCTTTTTTTTTCACGATAAATACATCAATCATGGACCAGCTTCCACCGATAATACACCACTCTCTAAACACCAAAGCAGCAATAAGTGCCGTCTTAGACTCGCTGGTAAGTTCTCTAATATCCGGCTGTTATCGCAATGCCCTGACGTGTATCCTATAGATAATATTTTAAATTATATTAACGGTAATAATCTGACACTCCAGCAACTGCTATACGCTTGTTCTACACCCCACTCACCTCCAAATTGTGAAGGAGTCGAAATCTCTTGGGAACTGTGTTACCCAATCGCACATATGCATACTCCGTCCACGACCGACGCTGCAGGCAGCCTAGCAGCACGACCTGCTTCCCCGCCCTCCGCAACCTCGAATGCCTCTCATCTGCCCACTTAGCTGAAATACCCCAAGTTGTAACAAGAGCCCTTTGCCACCGGCTGAGATGCAAATAAGGTATCACAATAAAATATTGGCAATTTTGCACTGAGCAGCTGTGACCTTTAACTGTAGTAGCATTAGAAATGACATTTATGTAATAAATTAAATTAAATTCATGAGTCACTTGGAAATTGCATCATATTTCAACATCTTCATCTCTCCTACTGGTTGAATACTATTGTCAATGATAGAGCAGATACAACACCATACTGGAAAATATCTAGCTCTTATGAGAATATTAGTCACCCCTCAGCATTAGTAATTAGCACAATATGATTAATATTATAGATATCAGCAGAAAGTGTTATATACACTGGTATATCAACTGTGGGTACAGTAGACTACTACACCTCTAGATTTGTAACATACGACTTGCATACAACCTAATGGCTTGTACTAGCAAGAACTCATTTTCATGGTAACACATCACATATATTTGAAGTACTTTAAACAGATATTTATATCATATATGATTTTGTTTCTGGAAGTGCCTCCATCTTACAAGCAAATTTTTATTTTATTTACACTGAAGCCCATGGGCACGTACAAGTTCCATCCGCTACATGTGCCTGCCACCCGCTCCTACTGCCATTTCGAGGTGATGACAAATAGGCGCTGAATCGAGATGTAACAGACTCTCAATTATTCGACCCCAAACATATTACACTGCACTAGGCCTAATATAGCGGTTAAAATCTATGGGTTTTGCCCGAGAAGGGGTATGGGTTATGGGATATAGCGGACCTATGGGTTATGGGTATGCAAATCCCTGCTCGCCGAATTGGCGGACAGGCTTTGCTATGGGATGCTAGTTATCAAAGGTATGGGTTAAGAGGGACTAGACCGTAACCAAAACCATTCAAATTCAAGTCCGCGACTATCAACGATGGCGAATCTCCCTGAATCTCACGACGGGTGGCGGGGTGGCCACGTTGCTCACTCATTACTCGGTTCATTTCATCGACCCTTGCGGTTGTTAACTGTATTAGCTAGCATAAGGTTCGAAACATTATATTATCCTTTCCTTTCCCTTTCTTTCCACGACTATTGACGACGCCTTAAGGGATGAGGGGTTCAGACAGCTCGACATCTGTGTGTCCTCTTGTGCCTCAACCACT